GTTTTCAAAATTGCTTTCTTTGTGTTTGTGGGTTTGAAAAAGTTTTTTGTTTGGAAACTTCGGTTTAACTCTTGCTTCTATCCTCAAGAGCGTATGAAGTGTTTTTTTGAAAACTTTGTTCGAAAAGTGTAAGTGTGAAAAATTTTTGTTTTTGAAAGAGCAAGTATCTAAGAACCATATACCTACTCAAAAAAGGAATCATTCTATGCTAATTTCCTTTAGACAATGTTATCCTACTATTGATGAGTAGGTAGCACCGTTGTTGGAGTTTGAGGGGTCAATTCGAATGCGGGACTTACAGTCACCAAAGCAATGTTAGGATGCCTTAGCGGTAACCCTAATGTCTTAGATTATTTGTTTGAGGCAACAATATCTGAGGCAACTGTTTCGAGGCGACTATAATCTTTTAGACAAGAGGGCGACCTCTAAAACAACCTATATTAGCTTGAGGATACAGCTAGTGATTTTTCAAAATTGATTGTTTCAACATACAAATGTGTGATAATGATATTGTTTAAAATTTAGTACAATGCAAGGTACACGTTTATCGTTTTCTATAACATAGCATGATTAAGAAACTTGTAATTTGTACAAATACCATGTCATCTATTATTTAGCATTACTTGTTCATAATTGAATCGGTTTAGTTCCTACCTAAAATGTGAGAAAGATTTTCATTGTTCATTATATGCAGGAGACCGATATTCTTGTTTTAACTAGATTTTATTATGTTTAATCTTTTATTTGTATTGATTGTATGGAATCATGAAAAGGATAAAGGCACTTTGTTTTATTTTGAGCACAACCACTTGACCAAATATTCAATCTACCTTGTGAGTGAGCGAGAATTTGTAACCCCTTTTGAGCATTTTTGTTATTATACATGTTGCATTTGAACTTGATGTTTGTCTATGAATATTTAGTTCACTTATTTTAAATGGTTTTTTATTTTTGTTTCTTGAATCCTCAACCATGATTTATGATTTAAATTTTTACATTGTCTTAGAAAGTATGAAGTATTCACACTTTGATGTTGGTTGAATTCAAGTTGGAAAGAAAAATGATTGTTTGTTTATTGGTTGGTTGTTATGAGGTTGAGAAAGAAAAAAGAAAGAAAAAATATGTGAAAAAGAAATGAAAATAAAAAGAAAGAAAAAAATGAAAAAAATTTAAAAAAGAAAAAAAAATAGTAGCAAATAATTGTGTTAAATAAGTAAGGTGTTTTGGTGTTATAATTGGGATAAGAGAAGAAGTTTGATTGAAATTTTGTTGCTTGAAATTTTGTGAGTTGATCACTCCCCTAGGTTTAGACAAGTTTTTGTTTCAATTACTTTTAAAAATTACCCCTTGTTTGTTAGCTCAGCCACATTACAACTTTGAAAGCCCTTGTGGTTCTTGCTTTTATGTTTTCAATATGAATTTTTAGGATGAATGCATAATTCAATATTTTGTTTGCAAGATTATTGGATGAGTGTCAAGTTCCTCACTTTTGTGTGTTTTTCATCTCTTTATGAAATTTTTGCTAGGTGTGATTCATGATTGAGCATGTTATTTTGGAATGTTTTGCATGACTTTTGTACTTAGGATTTGTTTCATTTTCATGTTGTCGTTATAGTATAGTGGTAAGCATTACTTTTCTTGTATTGAACCATACATTTATTTTCATTTTTCCAAATTTGTAGAGCATGATTTCTTGGAAATTGTGTATGTTTTCTTAGGTTGATTAATTCTTGTTTGAGGACAATCAAGTTTAAGTTAGAGAAATTTTGTTGAGTGCTAAATTATTGTGAATTTGAGTGTGACTAATTAACATTCATCAACTTAATCCATTTGCTTTTCTTCAATAAACCTCAACTTTTGTGTATATTTTGTATAGTCTATGTTATTGTGTATAATGTGTATTATCGTGTAAATATCATTGAGTCTAATTATTTTTATCTAATTTTTTGTAAGTATTCAAGAAATGATATTTAGGCATTGCAAGATAGAGCAATAAATAAGCTTTTCAACGCTTCCGATCGTGCGTAAATCAGAATTATAGTTCTCAAATTATGGTGAAAGCAAGAAATCATTTTGCTGTCTGCTGTCAGTTTTGCCCGATGAGGTTGGGGAAAACCTGGAGTATTGTGAGCGCCGAGAGCTCGTCGGGTGAACCTTCTTGTTCCTACGCTGCATTTTGTGAATAAAATGCTTCGTCGGACGAGTTTTATGACCGCTGGGCGAGACAGTCGGGGAAGAAACTCATTTTAAGGGCAAAAACACACATTTTAAAGGTATGGTTTGGGGATTTTTTGCTCTCACTCCATCACCAAACATTATTTGTAGAGAGAAGCTAGAAAACAACAATGGAGCTTGCATATAGATGATCCAGAGTCGAATTTCTCATCAATCGAAGCTGACAATCCGTGAGATGTTTAATTTTTCTTCATTCTTCTATATGTATTTCTCTATTTGTTGGATTTTGTCTGTAAGCTTACTATGAACCTATGTATATTTGTTGATTATGGTATTGTATAAAATATGCTTTACAAATCATTATCGATGTCTTTCTTGATCTTTTTGCTTTATATTTTGATTTGTGTTGTTAGAGACATATGCCTCACAAATTCCGATTAGGGATGGATATCTATTAGTTTCTAGATTCTATAGATTCTAAAGATAGCTTTAGAGTTAATATTCACTGTGGGTATCGAAACTTAATGCATCTATGTTATTTTGTGCGAGACATCGCCGACGCGAGAATACGGTTGTTCTCGCAACTTTGTGTTAGACGTAACCTTAGTTGTGATACGTCTCGTAGGTGTTGCAGAAATGGACACTGATGTGAGAGATATATGATGATTTTGATGCGTATGGTAGGTTGAGTACAACTGATCGATATGTTTAAGTTTGTGACGAGTAGTTTAAATTCATGCCTGATAAGTTTCTCCTCTCTGAAGAATGTATATTTTCTTGTTCATATGTTTTTACTTTAACCATTTCAAACCAAGCTCAGAAATGTAGAAAATATTAAACGATATTTTTTCCCTCACACTGATCCTTGTAGAGACGATATACGATAAATTTCCAGAAAAATACTTTCTTTCTTTTATTCCTTACCACTATATTGCAGTTTGAACAATGTTACATAGCTGGTGTTTTTTATGTCGAGTAACACCTTAAGTGCAAATATATGTTTTATATGTGTTTTATCTTTTTATATTAAGCGCGAGGTTTTTAAGGTGTTACAATAATGGTATCAGAGCAGGTATGTCCGTCCAGCCAGCTTGTCTAATGTTGTTTATTCGTTAGTACGCAACACGTGTGTGAAACATTATCGGTGCTTGCTTGTTTTTCTAACCGCTTATCAGCAGGAGCAGGATTGAAACAAGTGGGGGAGAAGCTTCTGCTCTCTGAGATGTTTCAAGTGTGGAGTGTTGGTTCAGTGTGTCACTGATTGCAAGAGTTGAGGTAATGTCAAAGTTGTGTTGTTTCTCGAACCCGAAGAAAATACGGATTCGAGATTTGTGTATCGGTCAAGATGGAATGTCTTTGAGAGAGAATGATCAGTTATTGTTGATGTTTTCTTTTTAGAGAGTTGAGAACAGTGTGACGGCTAGTGATATGCTAGTGGTGTGTAATTCCTGAAGATATCTACAACTTGTCTCCTGAGTGTGAATCTAAGTTCGACAAAGGTGAAGAGTTGATGTTTTTATCTACTAAGCAAGTAAAAAAATTCTTAGATGACGAGGCTCGGATGTTTGCAAGTTTGCATCTTTACAAGTTGATAGTAAAGCTGCAAATGTTGATTTATCTGCGGTGTGTGATTTTCCATATGTGTTCCCAAATTATATCAGTGATTTACTGCCAGAGCACGAGGTGGAATTTGCCATCGACCTAGTACTAGGTACAAGTCAGGTGTCAATGGCTCCATATAAGATGCCTGCTTCAAAGTTGGGTGAGCTGAAAAAACAGTTGGAAGAGTTACTAGAGAAGAAGCTTTACGCCAAGTTGTCTAAGTGTGAATTTCGATTAAAAGAACCGAGTTTTCTTAGCTATGTGATTTATAGCGAAGGGATTGTTGTTGATCTGTCGAAAGTTGATGTTATGTTATAGTGGGAGACTCTGAAGTCTGTCACTAAGATCTGAAGTTTTCTTGGGTTAGCTAGTTATTATCGTAGATTCATTGAGGGTTTTTCCAAGTCGGCCTTTCCGTTAACTCAGCTAACTAAGAAGGGTCAGACTTATGTTTTGGATGTGAAGTGTCTTAACATGAGAAACCATACAAGAAAAACCCTTGCTCTCATCCTTCCCATCAAAGCAACAATGGAACTCACGGAATAGACAGTGCAAATCTCCTATCTGAACAGAAACCATATGACAATGTAAAATTGTGCCATTGAATAATTTTGGTTGAAGAATTTTAACAATCACCTTGTAGGCAGCAAGAAAGAGCATTTCACCGTGATTGTGATGCTACTTAAATCAGCTCATTTGCAGCAATAGATGAGATAGAGTTGGGGGAACAGACTAATGCCCAAATGGAAGAAGGTGAAAAAGTTTCCATGAAATATTGTTGATTAATCGAGTGAAAAGATATGAAACTACACAATTATTTTTAAAATAAACTCTACATGAAATATATCGTATATAATCATGCATTCCTTTATTTCTAACAAAATCCATCTTAGATGATAATTCAAACTCAACTTTACATTCACAAAAGTCATTGAACCAGTTTCTTGATATTTACCACTGAGTACAAATGCCACCAGCAATCACAAGGGTTCGCATCAGCTTTTATACAATTTATCCCCAATTTCAATGGGTACATATACATTGCACAAAGAAACTAAAATCTACAATTAAGTAGTATAAGCCAATTGATAAATACTAGAAAAGTGTCAAAATTTGCTTCATTAAAAGGATCTTTTCCTATCTATTCAAAATCATGACATTTTATAACTTACATAGCTTCCTATGACAATGAATGACCTCGGAATTTTCCATCAACAACAGCTTCATTGCTTAATGAGGTTGCGTATGACATATGGAAGAATTCCTCCGTGGTTGAAGTAAGCAAGTTCCACCTGAATATCAAGCACAAACCAAGGGTAAAAAACAGGTTATAATTTATAACACCCCTAGTTATTACAAAGCATGCTTAAGAGTAGCTTGGTTTATCGGCAACAAACACTATAAAATTGGTGAAAAGCTTAAATTACCTCGGTGTCAAAGCGTGCAATGCAGGTGAAAGATTTTCCACTATCAGTTGTGACTTTGACATCTTGGCCAGGCTTGATCTCACTGATTTTATCTGGAAGGTCAATTGTATAACGTTCATGACCAGTCAATCCCAATGTGTCTGCATCCTCCCCGGGTTTGTAGCAAAGAGGAATAATACCCATTCCTACCAAGTTACTGCGATGAATTCTCTCAAAACTTTTAGCTATCACAGCTTTGACCCCCTGTTGAAATGTAAATGTATCATACACCAAGAATTTGACCTTTATATTTTAGAAAAGTCAAATAAAAAACCCAACTGATCACAACTTGTAAAGGAACTCACCAATAACATTGGACCTTTGGCCGCCCAATCTCTAGAACTTCCACTGCCATATTCAGCTCCAGCTAGAACAATGGTGTCTTGCCCAGAAGCCTTGTATCTCTGATAAAAGAGAACAAAACCAGGAGATTAGAAACTTAATACAGCAGAAATAAACCAATTATAACAAACAACATTCTTTGGCACAATACTGTCCACCAATTCTTATTTTTTGGGGGTATCCCACTAAATTAACATATAATGTCTACATGTCCTTGCCATTTGTCAGATTACCAAGCTTTGCGGAGCTTGAAATAAGAAGTGTATCTATTTGATTAAGCAAAACTTGATGTTGATACACCCACAGAAGCAAACAGGTTCAGTAAAGATAGTAATTGAAAAATATCATTTTGTCAAAAAGACGCTCATATTTGTAGTTTGAAAAGAAATATAGAAAGTCATTAGCACCAGAAAATATCATATAGAATAAACTATGATTTTCCATGGGAAATGTTCGAAGTAGTAAAACAAATAACATTACATACTTGTGTAGGGCATAACTCACCATTGCTGCATCGTACACATAAAGCTTCTCCCCAGTTGGAATGTGCACTGTCTTAGGGCCAACTTCTCCATTTAAGAGTTTGTTAACAAGGCGAATGTTGGCAAAGGTTCCCCTCGCCATCACCTCATCATTGCCACGACGACTTCCATAAGAATTAAAGTCTTTGCGTTCAACCCCGCGCTCTAGGAGGTATTTGGCAGCAGGACTGTCCTTGTTAATGCTTCCAGCTGGAGAAATATGATCGGTGGTTATACTGTCACCAAAGTTTAGCAGGCAATAGGCATCATTCACACCATGAGATCCGGGAGGATCCATGGTCATGTTCTTGAAATATGGAGGCTCATGAATATATGTTGAGTCGGAGTCCCAAGAGTAGAGAGTGTCAGCTGGAACTTGTAGTTGGTTCCACATAGGGTTTCCCTTTGTGATAGACTCATATGTACTTCTGAACATGTCAGGTAAGACACTAGATTGAACAGTCTACAAATAAAGTCACACAATTATTTTTGCCATACGTCATATGCATTGGCAAATATTTAATCCAAAATTACATGTACTGAGCAATTTAGGTGTCACTCACCTCTGCAATTTCTTCGGTAGATGGCCAGATATCCCTCAGGTAGACATTCTTGCCATCCTTCCCCACCCCAATTGGCTCCTTCTCAAAATCAATGTCAACCTGGAAACTTACCAAAAGAAACTAGATGAAATTATAACATTGTGGATCTTAATATCTTTCAAACTTAAATTTCCTCAACCTTGTCATAAAATAAATATAATATGCACCCTACCAACTAAAGAAAGTTATAAATAAAGCTTAGACTCGATAGTCGGTAGGACATTCAGAATAACGTTAGTCTATGATAACACATTCTCTGTCAGGAAAAAAATTTGAAACTATATTCCATATACCAAGAAAATACCAAAATATTAGTGTTTATTGTTTCATATGTAGACATGCGCAATTATTATGTCTGAATCCAAAACTAGGCTCCCAAATGAGTATATAAAAGATTACTAGAATAGATTAAGGAATTATTTGGTATGTAAAATTTGAGAAAGGAATTGATCCATTTTGGACAAACCAGTATAGATCTGCATGTAAATGGATCACTTCATTAAGTCTAAGCCGGTGTTGGGCCGACTCTCATAACCCATAGCCAGCGACACATATACCCAGCCCTTACACCTGCTGATTCATGCAAATTGCAAACATATGAAGCTAATGTAACTAACGCCAATACCAATTTCTTTTATTAGCCTCCAATAATTTTATGTTTGTCTGTTTACTTCCAACAAATGAGTCAGACAACTATTACCTTTTACAGAAACAGATGAAAATCAGATAATACTGTGAAAGAAGCAAAAGAATGGAGAAACGAATCTGAAATGTGGATTAGACACACGTACCGTGCCAGCAAGAGCATAAGCAACAACCAGAGGAGGTGAGGCCAGATAATTAGCTCTTGTCAAGGGATGAACTCGACCCTCAAAATTACGGTTCCCAGACAACACAGCAGCTGCTACAATGTCTGGATCCGAAAAACAAACAAAAAACCAATAAGGCAAAAAGTTATATAAATAAGAGTGTTGCATAGAAATCAGCTTCAGTTCAAATAAATAGCATTTTGTTATGAAATATGACCATTATCTGAGATGGCAGAAGCAACAGATTCATTCAGATCCCCTGAATTGCCAATGCATGTTGTACAGCCAAATCCAACAATATGAAATCCTTGTTCGTTCAGATACTTTTGCAGTCCACTGTCATAAAGTAGAAACATATACCAATTTAGATTAAAGTTTCCTCAAATATGCAGACCGGAAAGAACCACACAATGATATAAATTACAGTAGCGGAATTCGAGTAAGAAGTACAAAATACCTCTGGAGTAGATATTTAGTAACAACTCCAGAGCCTGGAGCAAGACTTGTTTTAACCCAAGGCTTGACCTGGCAAAATAGTGAAAAAAACAACAATGATTAAAATTTAAAAAAGAAAAGTACCACCACGGATAAGAGAAACAACCCATGCCGTTTATTAATGGAAGCAAAAACAAACACAAGAAAGGAGAGACGTAAAATTATTATACTAACCTGCAAACCAAGCTCATGAGCCTTTTTTGCAACAAGGCCAGCCCCAAGCATAACACTTGGGTTTGATGTATTCGTACAGCTTGTGATTGCAGCAATCACTACACTACCATGCTTGAGCTCTGCTGGCTGCCCATGAAAATCAAATTTCACAACTTTTCCTTGTGCCTCTTTTGGTATAGCGAATCCCTGCATTTAAATAAAACATACATTAGCATCTTATACTCATCTAAGGTTCTGATAAAGCAACAGTCTATGAAACAAGGATGATTCCACTTTTGCATATGAATGATGAAAAAGCAACATTAATCACATTAAACAGTGCCCTTGACATCTTTGATCTTTTATATTAATAAGGTACCAGGAGAGAGTCTTGAAAAAATAGTAGCATGAAAATTTTCAAGAATAAAGAAATTATTTGAATTTCTCAAAGATCAGATGACGAATTATACAAAAGAAATCAATTAGCTTGATGCTCATTGAAGATGAAAGTCACCAACAATTTGATAAATATAAGCTACACGTGAATGTCATAAAAAACATTGATAATTATATCAGTAATATAGCATTGTAACTTCAGGAGTTGAGTAAGTTGACGAAACAGGCAGACAGAAGTAACGCAAATATAAAAAAGAACCTTATATTGTATATTCTAAACATTTTTGTGAAAGATACTGAATCTGCAAGTCAAAGGTCTGCACTTCAAACAGTTAGAAAGAACATATTAAAAATGTACTCATGTTTGATGGTCTGACGTTGCACAAACAAAATGATTTTAGCCAATGTGTCGGATGCAATAGATCCAACTATGAAAATCCAGGTCAACAAACATGAACAATTATATAATACTATTTGTCGTTTTGCTACTGCAGAGAAGTACTGAAACTGATACTAGATATTAATCAAATCTGCATTCTATAACAAAAACAACCAAATGGGCAGTATATATTTAGCAATTTTGTTTAAAACTGACAATCAACGGCTAATTCAAGTTACAGAGTACAGAATTATTTTTCTTCACACAACAACAAAACATGAGGAAAAAATTGAATGTCACGGCATTACAAACCTTAAATCCAACTTTGTTATCAAGACATGCATGCCAGTCGGCCTTCATTTCTTTCAAAGGAACCCGGTCATGGGGTCTGGAAAGAATACCATTCAGCATGCATTATTAGGTTGATAATACCAATAGGATGGAAATTGATTAAAAAACACATAAACAGACATAGGAGAATGTGAGATACTTGGGACCTTACCTTTTTGGTCCTGAGATACATGGTTCTACGTCGGACAGGTTTAATTCAAGATATGATGAATATACCCTATCTTGTTGCGGCTGAGATCATGGTAAAGAAATCAGCCTTTTAAACCCACAGCATACATACATGTCATTTTATATATAAAAAAAAAGGTGTTTATAGGGAAACTGCAAGATACTAACATACCTCATTATAGTCAACAAACAGTCTGTTTGCCCTGAGATAAGACTCTATCATCGCTACCTGAGATCAGACAGAATACATTATACAGGTCAAATAGTTCTATTCTATGGGCATCCCATAGCTAATAGTAGATAAGTTGACCGCACTTACAGTCTCGTCACTTCTCCCAGTTAGCTTGAGATATTGTAATGTAATGTGATCCACGGGAAAGAAGCCCATGGTGGCACCATATTCAGGAGACATGTTAGCAATAGTTGCTCTGTCAGCTAAAGATAATTTACTCATACCATCACCTATTGAATGAAACCATGAAAACTGCTAGTAAGGACAGTCATCCTAAGATGAAAAATGGAGAAAACAAATATTTAGCGGTAAGCCTTGAGAGTCAAGTATTTAATTACCATAAAATTCAACAAACTTCCCTACAACACCATGCTTTCTAAGAATTTGTGTCACAGTTAGAACCAAATCAGTTGCTGTAACACCATTGCGCAGATTTCCAGATAGCTTGAATCCAACAACTCCAGGCAAAACCATGCTCATAGGCTGCAAGTATTATAGCACACGGCATTAGAATCATCACACTGTATTTTAACAACATATGCTCATTTAAAGAAGGTAAATAAATACTTCTAATGAGATAAATATGCCATAGACAATCATCAATCATTGGTGTTTTGGATAAAATTAACATTCATTATATAACATGTGTATATATCAAAATAAAAACTAAGAAGGTAATGTACCTGACCAAGCATTGCTGCCTCAGCTTCAATACCTCCAACACCCCATCCAGCAACACCAAGCCCGTCTATCATAGTTGTATGTGAATCAGTCCCTACCACACTATCAGGATAGAGTAAACCCTCATTGTTGAAAACTACTCGTCCAAGATATTCAAGATTGACCTGGAAATCAAAACATCACATCACAAGTCCCTAATATTTACATCAACAAAAAAAAACATTTAACTACCACACACTAATTCTGTATGTTTACTTCCAAACTTACCTGATGTACAATACCAGAACCAGGAGGAACAACAAGCATGTTACGGAATGCCGTTGATCCCCATTTAAGAAAAGCAAATCTCTCCTTGTTTCTCTGGAATTCAAGTTCCATATTAGCCTGCACTGCATTTTCTGACCTTGCCACATCAACTTGAACTGAATGGTCAACGACGAGATCAACAGGAACCTACCAACAATTACTGCTCAGAACCACTTCTAACAAAACATAAAATACAAGGAAAATATTTCTAAGACTACGTATTACGTACTCCAAAAACCTTACAAGTATGCAAAAGGAAGCTAGTTACCAAACTTAATGTTGGTAATTATTCAAACATTGATGAACCAACTTTAACTCACTAAGTAAAAGAATCCAAAGTTCACCAATGGTTATTTCAGTGCCATGAAAGCTAAACACATTAGCAAATAGTTTTCATATAAAATACTATTTGCAGATACTCGGTTAAGATGGCAAAATTGGTGTACATCTCAAGTAGCTAACTTCAATCCAAGCAATATATGAGATTCAAAAACATTTTTGTATTGTGCATAACAAATAATGATGTCATAGTACAAAAGTAATTCTAAAAAAAATTGAACTGTTTGGTCACTGTCATCAATGAATTCATAAAGAACATCATGTGATAAGAAAGATGAATACCAGAGGATTGATTTTGTTTGAATCACTGCCAAGCTTATTCATAGCGTCTCGCATGCACGCCAAATCGACAACAGCTGGCACTCCAGTAAAATCCTGAGGAGATAAAAGAAGTTTTCAAATGAAGATGACATATTACACTTGAGTAATACAAATATTTCATTGTATCTAGATTTCAGAAGTTGACAATTTACCTGCAAAAGAACACGTGCAGGCTTGAAAGGAATCTCAACTTGCTTAGTGGATGTGTTTTCCCAGTCAATAATCTTTTCAACATCTTCTTTAGTGACTTGGAAGTTATCGCAATTGCGAATGGCGGATTCAAGGAGAATTCTAATCGAGTATGGTAACTTGTCTGTTATTTGTGCATACATAAAGTTGATATCAACAGTAATTTAATACATCGTACATCAATGAAAGTAATCTTCTGTAATGGACAATATTGATATGAAATTACAAATTTCATAATTTCACATGCTTTAACCAATACTCCTATTCTATCAGATTTAATAAATAAATAATAATAAATAACAAGGTTTAAGCCATGAAATATAACATGCCAAGCTACGGACACTTCAATGAAGACAATGTGTTTTCGTTGTCGCACACGTGTTTACATTCAATAATCTACGTGTTCCAGATTACTATCAGTGTCTACGTGTCAATATCGTATCCGGTGTACCGTGTTATGTTCGGATTCATAGATGCCAAGCCAAGTTAAGGACACTTTGAATTGAAGGCAATGTGTATTCGTTGTCGCACACATGTTTAAATTCAATAATTTCCATTTTTCCGATTACTATCAGTGTCTACGTGTCGATATCTTGTCCATTGTACCGTGCTGTGTCATGAATTCATCATAGATGCCAAGCCAAGTTAGGAAATTTACCAATTCTTGGATCATTGAGTGAAGGAAGACTATAGAATTTTCCAAACTCGCCACCACCTGGCTTAGGAAGACTTGTCAAGTTTCCCTTAAAGGGATTTTCAGTGGCTGCAATAACCAATCACAACATAAAATTCACAACCGAATATTAGAAACTTAACTGCACGTCATATACGAATAAAAAGTCAATTTAGTCCCTAAACTATCCCTCTCTTATCAATTTAGTCCCGAACCTTAAAAATAGTCTAAAATTCCATCAAATATTCATCCAAAAACAGTTAAACCGTGTGAATTACTAAACACAACAATTCCATAAACTGAAACTGAATCAACAAAATTCTCATAAACATAAAACAGTAAACCGAAATGAAAAAATGCATAAACCGAACGGTGATGATTATTGAAGTAACCTAGTAACGTACCCGTGGTAGCGATTTTGCGGTGGAAACTTTCTACTGCGGGAGCGACGGCTCTGATCTGAGGACGAAGAGTGAGAGGAGAATTACAATGGAGGCGGCGGTTGAGGTGGCGAAAGGAACAAGAGAATGATCGAAAATTGCGAGATGAGTGAGCAGTTAGAGAATGAGGAGAAGCGGGGAAGGTTCTAGAAAAGAGTTTGTTAGGATTGGTTGTTCTGGGAAGAGGAGATGATGATGTATACATGGTGGTTAGTTATGCATGAGTGAGAAAGGTAGAGGGGAAGGAAGTGTTTTGGAGAGTTTTGTGCAAGTAGAGAAGATAGAAGAAACAGAGAAGCTATGGAAATGGAGAAGGAGAGGGAAATGGGGTGGTGATATGTTCTATGTGGGAGTGTGAAGAGGAAATTTGAACTAGAGTGCTTGGCTTGTTATCTTGCTTCGGATATATGTTACTAATTTTTAGACGAGTTAACATTGCATGAAAAGACTAAATTATTTCAATTTTAAATTTTTTTAAAAATTCTAAATTTCTAATATCACACTTCATTTTTTTAATTTATTGGACGATATCAGAAATTTCGTGAAATAGTAAGGAATTTACTATAGATTTGTGTAATTTCTGGTATTTCGTATCGGAAATTTTAAAATATTTGATATATTCCAACTGAAAATTTTGAAATTTCTGAGTTTAATATTTACCTTTTGTACAGGAAACTTTGAAATTTCCGAAGCTTTGTGGCATGTACTCGAAATTTCCTACGGCGAAATGATTTCCATGTGGCCTTCACATCTTCATCGGTCTTCAACTCTATCAGGTTGTATATCACATTTCTATTTGTATCAATTCAATCTTTCTGAAACTCGATCCCTGTCACCCTTCTGTTATCGGAGTCAATCAGCAATGCATTCAACATTTCTTTCAAGGTGGCAAGGGATGTGTTGTCATCTGGGAGCTTGAATTCAACAACAGAGTTGCATCTGTTGTAATACACTTCTGCCTTAATCAGAAACTGAAGAAGAGACGTCTTTTAAGATGTCTTTCTCTATAACACATGCTCCTATTTATACAAATGGTGGTGCATTCTATACCACACAAAGATGTCAGTGCAATCAGAACCCTCCAAAGATGTCGATAAAATCTCGACCGTTAAAAAACTTGAATAAATGAACTACCGAAAATTTTAGTATAACTCAAATTTCCGGTACTGCCTAGTAACTTTGAAAATTTCAAAATACCAGAAATTTCAAATACACTACCGGAAATTTGCAAGGGTGTATCAGAAATTTTGCATGTAACGAAAATTTCAAAGCATTTACCAGAAATTTCGTTCGAAAATTATTTGCATCTCAACAAAGATAATTCTGAAATAATTAAAATTGGGGGTGTCACGTTAAATCCTCTAATTTTTAAGCTTAAATAAGTTTTTTCATCTGTTAAGCATATAAGTTAGCATGTTTTCGAATTTGGTTTGTGATTTTTTGAGTCTTTATATTTCACTTTTTGTTGGTGTTAGTCAATGGTATTAGAAGACTATTAAAAAAAACTGAGTTGTTTAAATTCGCCAACGTGAAAATGATTTTATATTTTCTTTTGTATAATAACTTATATATGTGACCATTTAAGTTTTCCCACCAAAACTTCTAAAATGTTCAGAAATAAGTTTTTATTTTTAGTCATTGTAAATTAGGGTTTTGTATATTTGGAGAAAAAGCAAATTGTGACATTGTGGGAGGGAGGCGACGAACAAAGACGGTGACAAGTTGTAATACCATGTATAATATACGTCTAAAAGATACATTATACACAATATTCATTTAATACTGATACAACATAAGTGCCTAATGGTATCATTATATAAATATGTCCAAGTATAAAATACATAACTAAGCACATGTTATAAAATAGTTCCTAAACAAAACAAAAATCTAAGATCTAAGTACAACATCTAGAATTGTACAAAATCCACAGTGGAAGATCACGAGAATCAAAAGTCTTTGAAACATAGTCAGATACATGCTCAAATTTTTAACCTGCAATTAAAATCTGAAAAACAACAAAGATAGTGGGGTGAGATGATAATCTCAATGAGTTCCCATATCCTATGGGTTCACTCGGCTCAACAGGGTTTCTAATTAATTCTTAACTCAAGTCTTTATCTTTTGGTATTTGTGTATCACTTACACAATGTAACCAAGATATAAGCATCTAAGGGATATCCGCAATGTATGAAAACATGTCACTTGAGTTCATGTAACTCAATAAATCACTATTCGAATTTATGAAACATCGATCCTCGCTCGGGCCTACGTCTAGGTAAAGCTCATTTCACGCATGTTGTAACACCCCAAAATTCGTAATTACTTATTCAATTAATTAATTGTGAGTATTTCTGAATTATTGGTGAATATGTGATGTTTGTTGAGTATGATGTGTGATGTACTGATATGTTGGGGAAAATGAGAATTTATATGAGTAAGGAGTATTCTAGTAATTTAGATAATTAGTTAATAATTATTTATAATTAGTTAGAATTATTATTAATAATAAAATAGATGAATAATTGATGAAGAGAAGGTAAGGGCAAGATGTTAATTTGTGAAAGGCTAAGTGAGGATAAGTTGAGCAAAACATATTAGGGGTCCAAAGGTTAAACGAGGAATAAGGAAAATATTTTATTTGATACGGTCGTGAAAACATTGGAAGAGCAGAGGAGAAAGTTAGGGCACGAAGAACACATCGGAATTTCGGTAGATCGTGAAGAGAGGAGACCCAAGCTAGGAATCTAAGGTAAGGGGGTGATATGTCATTATAATTGATATGAGGTTTAGAGATATGTAGGGATTTGACGGGGTTTGATAATTTTATGATATGTTGTATTATGATGAAATTGATGAAATAACATGTTGATTTGCCATGAGATTGTGTATATAATGCAAATAATGTTGTATGGTTGTTTTATGATGATTATATGTTGAAAACCATGAGAATTTGGACTGTATTGACATGAAATCGCAAGAAGAATTGGGGCTGAATAGGTGCAGAATTGCAACAGGATATTGTTGTCTGCTATACATTGTCGGGCGGTGGGAAGTGTCATCGAGCGATGCAATGACGCCTAGTCATTGCCAGGCGAGCTGAGAGGGAAGGAGATAGGGAAAATGGTGCTCCTGGAATTTTGTATGGAGGGGGTGTCTCGCTCGAGTGTCGTCGGATGATGCAAGAGCGAGAGGTGCATCGCTAAGAGAGCAAAGAGCTTCTTCAGGCGATGGAGACCATAAAAGGATGGTGGTGATATCACTCCTATATCGTCGGGCGAGCCTCAGGTGAGCATACTGCTTCGTTAGAGCGAGCACCAGACGACAGACAGCAGTAGAATTTTTCAAAGGGCCATAACTTGAGTTTTAAAACTTTGTTTGAGACGTTATTCGAAGTGTTGAATAGCTAACACGGTGAACTACATGTGGGTGGAATAAAATGAGTAAAAAGAGATATATTTCCAATACCTGAGCTAAGATGGACTTAGAGTCCTTTGAGGTAGGCTATAATGATGTATGTTGTTATGATGAATTATGAGTACTATGATGGTAATATGTTATGACTATGAAATATTGTATGTTGTTGATGATTTCATGAATGATAATGAGATTTGACTAGTTGTAGTCGTTTGATATTCTGTTGTTGTGCATCATGCATCCATAGCATAGTTTGGACATTTTCGGCCCGTCCATGTTGATTTAGGACGTTGGTCCAGTGTTGGCCTCAATCCCTTTATGTGGATCAAGTGTGTTGGATATTGTGCTCCAATTCTAAGATATAATCGATTATATGGCAAGGATCTTTAGAGAGTAATGAGTCCAGTACTCATAATGAATTGGTACCACATGCATGAGCCTATGTTATTATATTATGTAACACGGTAGGAGAACTGACTTGATTTTGCGTTTTATCACAAATGTTGCAGATAGCAAGAGTCGCCACTGAATTTTCTTTTATCCAATAAGGAAAGGGTGAAAAGAACAGGAAAGAAGTTTTTTGATTTTTAGTTAGGGGGTAGGTTATGAAATAGGAAGGTGTTAGCACCCTTTTCATCTGTAGTTATCTACGGGATCTTAATCGCTAGAAATTCCATGGGCCATGGTATTAGGGCAGTTCTGACTTCTCCATGCAATACTCACATACCTTTCACATCTAGGCTATATTTTGATTGTATGAATAATGTCTCAGAATATGAAGCTTGTGTGATGGGCCTCGAAGCAGCCATTGATTTGAAGATCAATATTTTTGAAGTTTATGGGGATTCTGCCTTAGTGATATATCAAGTACGAGGCGGTTGAGATACACGACACCCTAATTTAGTTCCATATCGGGATTACATATTAGAGTTGTTGCCTACTTTTGATGAGATCACCTTTGATCATATTCCTATAGAAGTAAATCAATTGGCAGATGCTCTGGAAACTTTAGCAGCAATGTTCAAAGTCAGATATCTGAATCATGCACCCAATATAAGAGTCCTTCGTTACAAGGAGCCAGCACACGTTTTCCCTGCTCATTGTCTCACAACTGAAGACGTGTCGGGCGAAAAGTCGTGGTGTTTCTACATCAAAATATATCTTGAGAAGCAAGAGTACCTTGAGGGTGCTACAATTTGTGATAAGCGGACTCTTAGAAGATTAGCATCCAAGTTCTTACTGTCAGGAGACGTTTTGTACAAAAGAAACTATGATTCAGTTTTGCTCAGATGCGAAGATAGACGCGAAGCAGAATCCATCATACGAGAAATTCATGAGGGCTCTTTTGGGACTCATGCTAGCGGACATTGTAATGCCCCAATTTCGATTGTTCGCTTTTTAATTAATTTAAGTGATTTGTTATGTGTTTATAACATATTTATGTGCCTTGTTGTGAATAAAATGAATATTATTGGTTTGTGGCCTTATATGTGTTTGTGGGGTCGGTGTAGGGTATGTGTCCCTAATTGATCGGGTTAGTGTGAGGTCACTAGAATAATATAATATATTAGTAGTATTTATTTAATTGGTTAGTATATGATTTAAATTAATTAATTAAGTGATATAAGAAATAAGATAAGGTTAGTGGGCCTTGTGTAGTGTTAGTAGAGAGGGGGTGCCAATAGGGCCCAACTAAAGGAAAGAAAAAGAATAGAAAGAATAAAAAAAAAGGGGAAAAAAAAGGGAAGTGAGTAGAAACTCAGTTATCGTGAATAATAGAGAGAAAAGCAG